ATATATGTTGTCAAATAGTGACAATATTTTTCCATAAGAACTTTTTTCTTTTTAAAGTATCAGGGTAATGCCTCCCACTTCTGTTCAACCTCGGTCTCGCTGCTTCCACTTCCTGATGTTGAAAGGGAATGGCAGAGCTGGGTGTGCTGACACACATCTGTAATTTCAGCTACTTGGGAGGCTGAGGACAGAAGATGGTGAGTTCAGGGTCAACCCTGGCAACATATGAGGTGATATTTCCAAAAACAAGGAATGGTAAGAATCACCCCTATATGTTAGAGGACGACAGCTATTGCTTTCTTTATAATTTTTTAAAAATTATTCTATTTTAAAAAATCAAAAACCCTTGACTTGACCACCATATTGACCAAGTGTAAAGTCATAATGCATGTTTTTATTTTTCTTCCTACTAAGAGGGTACCTGGAGGGCAAACGAGAATGTTCTTTCTATAAATTCACTATGACAAGTGATGGTGAAAAAAGATCATGCAGACATAGAACAGTCCTATTGGAACAACGGGCATTAGGACGGTGTCTTGGCATTTGACACAATCAGCCAGTCAATCCTTCCCCAAATTCAGAAACCAAATTGCAAGCCCTTACCTTGGAGGGCCTGTAAGCTATGAGTCTGTACGATAATGCAGAGCTGCAGGACCAGCTGAGGAGCACTTTCCAGAAAGGTGGCTAGCAAATGCAGCATACTCACATCGGCATACTCATACACCATTTTCCAGTAAAACCTCCACCTGTCGTTCTCTCCACTCTGCCGGCTCCGGATGCCTAAGTATATGGTGTGGAAATATCTAGAAAGCAAACAGAAGAGAGTAAGGAGGTGAGTGATAATCGATAATTCTAATTCCCAGGTTGGTTTTCTTTTTGGCAAGGCATCATATGCAAGCTTACATGGGAGGCAACTAACTTGGTGACTTGCAATTTAAAGCTCAAAGTTAATTGTTTCCTGAACACCCTTATTCTTAAATGCTCACACTGAAACATCACTGCGATTTAGTCCTCCTTTCAGGCTTTCCGTTGAGTTACAATATGAAGAGTGGGGTTTAATCTGATGGGCATTCAGATGTAGAAGGGATTTGCTACTTTAAAAATCTGTACAATCTTTTCCACCAGATCTTCTGCATGCCCCACAGCAACCAAGAGATAGGCTTATTCTAGGACACAAGTCAAGTCTTATGTATTAATATGTGTGAGCTTGTAAACCTTATGTTTTACAAAACTTTTTACTACTGAAATTTTCAAGCATATACAAAAGGAAAAACAAATAGGTTAATGAATCTGCTACACCTTTCACTCAGATTAGGTAATTATCAGGATAGTGTTAATTGTCTCTCCAAATACTCTGGCACTTTCTCCTTGCGACCACATTATTTTAAAATAAACTCTAGGCATCACATTATTTCACCTGTAAATGTGTTATTAAAATAATGTAAAGACCAATACCATTACCACACCTATAAAAACAATTTGAACAGCAATACCATAACACTTATAAACAATGGCAGTCATGTCTTAATATTATCGAGTACTCAGTTTTCATATTTTCCTGATTATTATAATTTTTATTAGTTTGTTTGAAATGCAACCCAAACAAGGTCTTCACATGATTGTTTGATATATATCTTTTATCTCTTTTCTTCTATGGATTCCCCTTTTTATTTAAAAAAACTTTTTGCATATTCTTTGTCTTGACGATGATGGTATTTGCATGGTATGTTTAAAAACTGTCCATTGTGTTTTCTGCAAATAAGAAGTTCCTGCTAGAATTTGGGTGAGATTTAAGTTTGATTACTGTAGGTAAGTGATGATGTATGCTTTTGCCAGGAAGCACACCGTGTTCACTTATTCTCTTTGACGACATTATCCTCCAGTGACGAAAATGCAGTCAGTGCTGCAAATAATGATATTCTGAGTTGACAACGCTTCTTTATTTATTAGCTAGACTACTACTTCTCCAGGCCTTTGGTCACTGTCTGCATAGTATTTGGTGTCTGGAGCTTGCTCTCCAGTAATCTCTCTAGAAAGGTACTAGAGAATGGACAGTATTCTCTGAGTTCTTTCAGATGATTGATAACAGCATGTGGTTACCAATTTGGCCAAGGATGCGGATAAAGTTCCTTACACAGACCTTCAAGTTTCACAGTTTTACTTTGAGATTTGAGCCCATTTCTAGAGTCTGTGAGAGAACCGTGCTTGGTCAATGCAGATTCTCAGAAACCGGAAGCAAAGAGAAGTAGGGAGAAACAAAGGAAGCTGAAGAGCAGAAAAGTCCGGACAACCTTTCACGGGCAGAGCAAGTGGGACAGGTGGAATGTGCACAGAAGGAAAACTCTGCAGTGTGTTTCAGTGAATATTTAAAACCTGTTACCTCCTTGTTTACTGCATAAAGTGTTGTCATGGAGAAGTCTGACCAAAATCTAGCATTTTTTCTCTTGTAGGCTTAGACCTTTCACTTGTATGACAAAAGTATATTTTCTTTTGAAAGCAAATAATTTTTTTAGAATGTATCTTGACAATGACTATTCTTAAACAATTTTCTAAGGATTGTGACCTTCTTCTTCATTATGTGGTTTCGAGCTTTAACATATTGTTTTATGTTACCTAAAATTAGAGTGTTCAGTATTTTTTTCTAATTGGTTGTTTCAGTTTTCTTTTCTGAGACCTCTCATTTATATATCTGTTATATCTTCTTTCTCTATTTTCTGTTTCTTCTGAACCCTTTTAATCTCAAATTAATTTTGTTTAAAAGTTTTCCATTCTTTCCATCTACTATTTTCTAACTATGTTATTTTAATCATGTCACATCCCTTCTTCCTGAGTTTTCATTTCTGACCCACTGTAGTTTTTTAAAGTTGGTATTCAGTGTTGAGGTCTATCAAGCTTTTTGTTAAAATTTTACTTTTTTCTACTCAATTTTTCTGCATTTTTCTAATTTTGATGGATATTTTCATTTCATAGCTTTTATAATTTTCTTAGTATCTTTGTTTTTTTTTATTTTAAAGAAAATAGTACCAAAAAAAAAAAGAACACTAGCAAAATACAAACAAAACAAAGCAAGGACATTAAAAATGATCTGCGGTTTCAAACCAAATGATAAGGATTAACAGTTGTTAAATTACATATTGTAATCTTCCAGGAAGTTGCTCAGATTGCCAGATGTAAGAATAGAAGATTGATCAAATCGTTGAAAGGAATAAGAAAGTAATTTAAATTTAAAAGAACGTTAGAGACAATACATAGTTTCACTAGACAGGATTGTGGGAATTCACCAATAGTTGTTATACTGTAAATTGTTGTCTTCACATAACTTGCTCAGATTACTAGATATAAGCACACAAAATTGGTCAAAATAAAAAAATTAATCATTAACTGTTCCCCTCAATAAACCATCAGACATCAGCAGTACAGTTATGCTACCTACCTATCTAATATATATAATGCTTTAGTACTTTCTTTTTCTTCTTTCTAGCTTATGGGCTCTTTCATTGTTTTGTGAATGTGTTTCTCTGACATGTACTCAATGTAGGAATATCACTAGTTTTCTTATTCTCATCTCATAATCATGTTGATTTTTTTCTTGTTGAGTATGAAAAGTTAATTCAGTGTTCACATACCCTTAGGAGAGGTGAGTGGTCTAGGAGAGTTCTGCTGGCTTCACAGCTCTAGAGCACACTCTTCTGTCACTCTCATGCAGTGATTAAAAGAAGACACCCCTTGCTATCTTCTGAGATTAATTGCCTCTGTTCTCCTTCCCCTTCCCTTCCATTTGGACATATTTCAGTTTCCTATGGTTGTGCTCATCCTGCTGATTTGGATCTTGTCCCAGCAGATTCTCTTCGGTCAGCGTGAGCATTGTTCTAGAGGTCGTCAGTTTGCTAGCAACGGAGGCTGAAGGGGCCAGACTGGTCCCACAGCTTTGGATCTGATTGTGTGATGGCCTCCCGGGCTCATCCTGCTCTGGCTCACGGAGTGCACCCTCCCAGCCTCTCCCACTGCCCCTAAATGGGCTCACTAAGCCTTCCTGTGAGTGCTTGCTGGGATTTGATGGTTTTTCAAGCTCCTCTCTCTCCCTTCTCCTGCATGGCTGTTGCTATCATATTGGTTAGACCTCTCACTGATTTGTCCTCACATGATTGTAGGAGTATTGCCACATTGAGTTTTACTGCAGGCATCATCATGATTCTTCAGAGTTACCGACCTAGTAGTGCCTCCCATGTTATTGGGGTACTTTTAGTAGGGTAAAAGAAATGTTGCCACTGCCCTTGTATTTGCAGAACACTACCGTTTTAAAACACAGATTACATCATTCCCTTCGGCCTTTACCTACTCTGTACCACTATGAGATGCAGCCTGTGCAGTTCAGAGATTTGCTACCCAGCCCTGTGGTTCTCGCACCATTCCACAGCTTCCAGTTGTGAAGATCGCAGTACACACCGCTTGCGTTTCCTACCTTGCATCTCCACCCCTTTGCGCAGACTCATTCTTTCCGTGAAACGCTCTTAGAATAGACTTTGCTGCTTCTCTGACTGGCAAGCTCAGTGTCCAGTCACCACCAATCACCCCTCAGTCCTCCAGGCGTAGGTTGCCTGCTCCCTGTGTATTTTAGTTTCTGAGGGCTCTTTTAACAAAGTACAGCAAGCTGGTAACTAAGGCAACAGAAATGTATTGTCTCTCACTTCTGGAGGCTTGAAATCCCGAGCAGGGACGCTTCCTTCTGAAGGTCGTATTGAAGAGTCCGTCCCGTGCTCTGTGTTACAGCTCTGGATCAGTTCCTGGCCGCCTTTGCCATTCACGGACTTACACGACCTCCCGGTGTGTGTGTCTGTTCCTATGTCTACATTTCTCCTCTTTACAGCTACATGGTCATAGTGAAGTAAGACCCACTCCATTTGCTTCAACGTGATCATTTGCAGTAACCAAGTCCTACTTCCAAATAAGATTACATCCAGGCACAGAGCTAAAACTTCATCATCTTGTGGAGAGGACATAATCCAATACCTTACACTCTTCCATCAGCTCTTGATCTCGTTAACTCTGTACCCACTCCTCCCCTCCTTGGAGATGCCCCAGGCTACATGTTGCTCCAATGCTTACTTCAGAAATTCATATCTACCTACTTTCCAGGTCTCCCCTCAGCTCTTATGAATTTGGTGCATCTCCAATATCAGAAATATACAAAGCTGTCCCTCAAGGTATCTGAGCTAAGCGCTGAGGGTGTTTTAGGCTCTTGATCTCCATCACCACCTATGTTTGATAACAGAACATGTTCTGGAACTTTTCAATGTACTTCTTCTTCCTCTCTTTTCTAAAGTTGCTTCTCTGGGTTTCTGATTTGGTTTAGTAACCTCCTAACAGTGTGATCTTGAGCTCCGCACCTTTTTACCTTAGCACCTCTAGCTCTACAGGTAAAAAACAACAGTATCAACCACATACGTTAATTTGAGAATAAATGTAATAAAAGTCAAAGTTTTTGCAGAAAGCCTGGTGGATAGTAGGCATGTGGTGTATTTTAACTCTCATTGTTAATTGATTTTGAATTTTCTAATGAGTTCTTCATTGCTTCACGGGTGACCTGTCTATAACAAAAATTAATCTCTCTCATCTTAAAGATTTCAATCCATAGCCTAGAAGATAAATAGTGAATTCAAACAGTGGAAATAAAGGCATTAAGGAATTTGCTTTAACTTTTCAAATCTCACCTCTGGGTTAACCTCATTGTCACAGAGCCTGTGTTCTCACTCTCCTGAAGACCCTGCCCCTTAGATGTGGTTAGACAGGAGCCCCCACTTGC